TTTTCTACGAGCAAGAAATCGGAGTCACATTGCAGCGACTGTTAATTGCATTTCATACCAAATAATTTGTAATTGACCAATTTATGTGCGAGTGTCACAGGCAAATTTGTAAAAATAACTTTTACTTCTTTCTTACTTTACCTTTGAAATTAGGGATCCATATTTGTGAGGAATCTCGTCGTGATACCACGGTCATGAAAAACTAACGGAAGAGCGTGCGATGTTTCGATAGAAAATTATGCATACTTAAGAATTACATTGAAAATATCCAAAACCCTAATATAGCTGTGATTTAAAACAAAAACTTCTGTTAAGGCCAATTTTTGCTGCGCAGAGGCACAAGGCTCAACAATGTTGGTTTTGGAAAACAGTGCTGGTCATTTAGGTTCGGTATTGTAGTCTATACGGCAGACGAGGGTCAAAAAATTAGAGACTTTAAACTCATTTAAGAAAAGAACAAGGAACATGTGTTAAGACAAACTTTTAGATCAAAAGTGCCGTTCCCAAATGCGACTCTTAGCCATTCCTTGCAATTGTATGTAAATATTACTTCTTCTCATGGAATCTTAGGGAGTTTATTTTCTTTAAATTGTACAAAGATTCAGCCTAGTAACATGCAATTGTTATTATAAGTAATTTAAATGGTATTTTTAAAGTCAGTAGGATTGAAATTGTGATTTGAGTGTCTTCGATTAGCGGATGTCTTCCGCCGGTGCTAGATCCCTGAGACACCCAAATAAAGTAATAAAAAATGTAATTATCATTATTATTATTATTGTATCATCATTATTATTATTTCAAATAATTGTAATTATCATATGTGATATTCCCACATAGGGATCTTTCTTGAGCGTAGTCTGTTGCATGAACTGTTCGTACGTATGGCAAAATCATTTACTCGAGACTAATTTGACTAAAAATACTTAAGTATATCAATCTCTGCTCTTCTTTCGTTTTTACATAATGAATGGATCGACGCCCTCATTGGGAATAGACAACCCCTTCGCCTCTTTGAGTTTCGGGCGTTTTGTTTCTCGCATTATATATAATTTTCCGGCTCTGTAAATTTCAAAGATCCTATACCCTCAGGTAGCCATATACGGCTTATTAAGACGCAAGCAAACTCCTGTATTAATTAAAAAAAAGTTTGACTCTCACGCGTTGGTTGGGATATCGATTTGAATTAACGGTTTTTTTCGGGTTTTTTCAGTTTTTTTTTGTTGTTGCTTCTCCAACAGGACTGCAACTTTATTTTAAACTCTCCGTTTAGTCGTTCTACGAAAGTTCTACTCAAACAAACAAGCAAGGCTCCCTTTTAATTTCAGTGTAATTTACAGTCAACTAGTTGCCTAGGCACCATATCAAATTTAACAGCATCAAACGTCTAAAATAGAGGACTTCTAAATATTTTAAAGTTACAACCAGAAAGCTATAAAATATTCTACGACTCAATCTAAATTTGGTTGTTTTCGATTGAAAATAAATGGAGCAATTCCAATTATCTTGCTTTAAATGCTTGAGACTGAAGTGTGTATCGATTTAAGTAAACTCTTAGAAAAAAATGCATGTTTTGTTTAAACAAGCTTCTTGAAGTTGTAAGCTAAACTGAATGAATTGTTCAAAGGGACGGTTGATGAGGAAGAGAAGAGAAAATTATTTGCCAAATAAATTAAAAATAATTAAGATTCTGCGAGTTTTATAAAGCGACAAACTTCAAAGAATATAACCTTGACTCTCAAAAGGCTGCTTAAACCTAACATAGCTTTCTATACATTACAAATACCTTTAGAGGTTGTAACGTACAGGCTATTTCATTGTGCTTCATTTATAGCTGGTTAGACAAGCCTACCAATAGAGGTAATAGAGATGCACACATACGGACCAAATAGCATCATCTGGACAG